AAAAAAGGGTTACTTTTGTTAAAAAAATGTCACTTTTGTAAAAAAAAGGTCACTTTTGTGAATAAAAAAGGGTCACTTTTGTGAATAAAAGGGGTCACTTTTGTGAAAAAAAGGGGTCACTTTTGTAGAAGAAAAAGGGTCACTTTTATACGAAAAAAGAGTCATTTCTCGCAAAAATATTCGATGTACAATAAAATTATTGTAAATCGGGGGCATGCAAAAGGGATTGAAATAATAAGTATCTTATTCTTGTGGCCTTGTACAGATACCAAATGACATACGGTTTATATCCGGGGCAATACAACTTGTTGTGTATTGCACATACAGATTATAAAGGTTTACCAAATATTTTACAAGAATCAATTGAGGAAGGAACAACACACGAGCCCCTACTTCACTAAATTGAGACAAAGGACAAAAGATGATATTTTGAACATATAGTCACAAGTAGGGGTGTCAATCGGGTTTTCGGTTCAGTTTTGGGTTCAGTTTATCAGGTTTTCGACGGGTCTGTTTTTAAATGGTTGGAATTATTAACGGGTCAGTTCGGGTTGGTTTTAAATAATTTAGGGTCGGTTCGGTTTGATTTATTTTTATTACAGTTTTTTTTCGGGTTGGATTCTAATCAGGTCGGGTTATAATTGGTTCGGGTCATAATCTGTTCGGATTAAATTCGATCGGTTTAAAAACGGGGTTTATCAGTTTAAAGCGGGTTTTGGGTCAACACATATCGGGTCCTAATCGGGTCGGGATGTAATCGTTTCGGATTGTAATTGGTTCAAGTTGAACTCAGCCAGTTTGACAACTAGTTTTGCTAGTTTTAAATAGGTTTTGTTTACATATATCGTCTAGTATATCCTCAATATTCTTTAATTAGTTATTCCAGTAGATCATACAAAGTATTAATTAGTTGTTTAACTTTATGTCCCTTTTTTGTATAATGATTTTAAGGATCAACTAATAATAACAAATCTAGAGTTAGCTTTTGATTTAGATTTTTAATTTTTTTTATACAATATAGTGTTCCATAAGCCATTACTCGTTATAGTTCAAATTAAACCCTTTTGTTATACTAATGATAAAATATACGCAAAAAAAATAGAAAAAAAAATTCTGCTGTTATAACGGGTTACGGACTTACGGATTATAAACGGTTCGATTATAACCAATTACGGGTTATTAACGGTTCGATCATAACTTATTACGGGTAATAAACGGTTCAATCCTAACCAGTTACAGGTAGTAAAAGATTTGGGTTTATCGGCTTTTTGTTGGGTTTAAACGATTTCGGGTTGCTATCGGGTTCAAAAGTAATCGGTTTGGGTTGTTCTCGGTTTCGGGTTGTATCAATTCGGCTTGATGTCGGGTACGGTTCAGTAACAGTTCTCAAACATTTGGATCGGTTCAGTTTCAGGTTTTAAAAATCGGATCGGTTCAGTTTACGGTTTTAAAATAATAGGTTCTTAACGGTTCGGTTCCTTTTCGGAACAGTTCAAAACGGTTCGGATTCACCAGATAGGGTCGGTTTTTGATAGCTCTAGTCACGAGGAATGCTTTGTATTTCCCTGCATTTTTCTGTACTTTATAAATTAATTAAGGTTGTGTTTGGGAAGATAGATTTCATTTCAAATGCATCATTTGAGTTATTTAATTTGAGTATTTCAAATGACATGGTTTACCTTGTCATTTGAAATCCTTACCTTCATGGGTTATTACTTGGTAGTTGTATAATTTGGGCAAATTCCTCATTTGAAATTCTTGGACATCCAAACACTATAATTGTCCCAATTCCGGAATTTCAAATGAAATTCTAGAATCCAAACACACCATAGTATTTATAAAATATATGTTAGGAATTTAAAGTATTTCATTTTATTTAAAAGAGGTAAATTACGTAATAGTTTCTAATTAAAGTAGTTTGATTTTGGAAAGAACATAAGTGTAATTCCTTTCACTAGCCTAATGATTTAAAACAAGGGAAAGGGAGCAATATCCAGCATTAATGATTTTTGGTAAAAAAAAAAAAAAAAAAATCCCAAATCTGATTTTTATAAAGCCTATAAAGTTCATGATAAGAGGGCTTAACTTTTTCTCTCTCCCTTCTGGCCTTCTTATTGTTTGTCGACCATCACCCACGCCGTTGACTATCACCGGGGAAACAATAACAACCACTAACAGAAGCAACAAACGAAAAAAAGGTCATGACAACTTTTTGAAAAATAAATTCAAGTAGGTGAAAGAAATAATGCAATTAAAATTAGTGTTGTAAGGCTGATCAAGTGATTCAAGGGTTTCCTAAAAAAAAATTTTGTGATTCAAGGTGCGTGACTCAAATTTAGTATACAAATTTATAATAACACTTAGAATCTTGGTCGCTAAATTAACAAGAAGATAAGACCACAATACAATGCATGAGAGGAATTAGCGTTGTTGGCTAGACTGAGTGATGTTGACCATAATTTCTTGGTGCTTGTTAGTTCTTAGGACGTGGCTTGAACATGCTATTCAAATAATAAGAAGGGGTTTCATCAGATCCATTACAAAAAGATAGTACAAATTCCATAATTAGTAGTGGAAAAAAAAAAAACTACAATTCTCACAATGCAACTCTTACATTAATTGTACAAACTAGTAATATATCATACAATAATACTAATACAACTCTTGGAATTTTACAAACTATACTAAATACATACGTACAAAAATTCATTATTTCACTAACCCACGTAAAATCTCTTGGCATCATATTGCATTTATGTCATCCAAAGTAGCAAACTACCAATACCTAAATGAAAAATATAAACAATGTATAATAAATTCAATAAAAAAAAACTATCCAATAAACATATGCAGTATCTATAAATAAACTAAAGTAGCAACCGCTGACGTCATCTTTTCCCCAACACTGTACACGTGTCGATTTATTATGAAAAATTTTTCTGCCCAATTGTATGACTTATTTTAGAAAATAATAATAATAAAAAAAATTATCATTTAAAGTTACAACAGTAAATTATTATTTCCTAAAATAATGGGATTTGAATTAGTATAGTTGTTTTTGTATTTATCCCAAATTACTATACATTTTACATAAATCAATAATTTAAATTACAAGTAATAAAATAATTGACTAATATTTTCCTAAAAGGTAGGGATATTAATGATAGTTGTTTTTCTACTTCGAATTCATATTAATGATTGGTTTGCTTTTAAATAATGATTTATCATATTGTTGAGGTTGCTTCTTAATACAAGAATTTTGATTTTTTTTCCTTTTCAAATGAGAATATTTTCTTAATACAAAAATTTTGTTTTTGTATGTGTGTGTGTGTTTTTTTTTTCGAAATCATCCGCCTTAATATTTTGACATACTATTGAACAAGTTGTTGATAATATTTTTTTTTCTTTCAAAGATTGATAAATTGAACTTTGTAGTATTTCTCTGTATTTGATAATTTGGGCGTTGTTTCATTTAATTATAAGTTGGCCACTACAGGTCAATTATATTGAAAGAGTTGATTGTATTATTTGTAATATATCACTTAACAACATAGTCTTATGATTTTATCTATGGCAAAAATATGGAAATGTTAAAGTAAAATTAACATTAATTATCCAATTGATGTGTGATTTTGTCATGCATTACAAACTTAATATGGAGCACTATTTTAAGTAATATATTAATTAGTTATCTAACGCCGCCTCACTCGAGAAGATTATTTGTAGAGTATGTGCGAGTTCAACACTATGGAGTATAATTTTATTTGTTAAAACTGTGTATTGCAAGAGGTTAATCTAGATGAAATTTATATTAACCACATGAAATATAATTAAAGCCTTAATATATGATAATCCAATTAAGTTGAACATGGTTGATTGTTGGGATAGTGGGTAACGTTCAAGTTCTAAAATCGTTACCCACTTAGCTATATTTAGTTGAGTATATAATTATGACGACTTTTAGTTCAAGAGACTGCACTTAGTTGGATTCAAACATCTTAAGCAAATTTAATAAAGGAGAATATTGGAAATTCGCATATCAACAAAAAACCATACTTACCATCCATTATATTTAATAGTTTCATCTTTTATTATGGATCTAGCGTCTCTGCCTTTGTTGATTCCTCTTTCTCCTCTTCATTCTCCTTGTACTATTATCTTCCTTGGGCAAAATTTTCATGACCAGTTTATGAAGATGTTTGTAGTATCATTCCACTGGCAATTCCAAGAATTGCTTGTTATGGGTTCGAACTCTCCAAACAAATACGGGGATATCAAATATCATAATTCAAAATAAAATTTACATGTACTAATACGGGTGTGCACAATATATGTCAATTACAACAACTAACAGCAAAAAAACAAACAAAAAAAAAAAGTTTAACTAAATTATAGTTGAACTCGACTTTCTACGATTTTTGCGATTTTGACATACGTTATTTCCAAAAATACTCTATTTATCTCAATGCCAAAAAAAAAAAAAACATGTTAACATTCTACTTTATACTAATTCGCATCATTTACCCAAATACCCATTTATTAATTCCAATCAAGCTCTCACAACTTCAAATCTTCAATTATTAATATAATTAAGTATAAGTATATAACATTTTTTTGAATTCAATTAACAATTAAAACTTAGAAGAAACAAAATTTAAAGCTATACTTGAATGAAGGAATAGATACACGACTCAAGAGATGAAGAAAAGCCCACGAATTGATGGTGACACACTGTATAATTGGGATTTGGGGTAATTGGATGAAGTTAAAATATTGTTTTAAAAAAAAATTATATATTCGATATGTATGCATAGTTTAATATATAATCCTTATTTTAATATTTGTTTCTTTTCGGATCCGTATGGGTTCATCTGAATCCAATGAACCCATACTGGAATCGCCACTGTACCATTCCCTATATCTTTTGATGTAAAGGATAGGCCATACAAATATTGTTATCCCTACAGAAAATCCAACTTCAGCACCCCTAAGCATCCAATTTACCTTGGCTCTTCAAATTCCAGTATGATCCTTGTGAGGAGGTCGATGGGGGTCATTCCTTCATCAGGTTTGTTTCTTCTTATTGGTGCCAATGGTGGTCCATGCAACCCTTGATTGCCTTCATATGAAGATGCATTGAATAGCTGAAGTTGGGAGTCTACTGGGATCTCTCCTGACAACTTGTTGAAGGATAGATTCAAGTATTCGAGGAAATATAATCCTGCAAGTTGCACAGGTATATTTCCACTAAAGTTATTACAAGAGAGATCTAACGATTCAATCTGGCTCAAATTCTCGATATATGAAGGAATATGGCCGAAAAAGGAGTTATGAGAGAGGTTAAGAACTACAAGAGCATTCAAATTTCCCAATTCTTGTGGTAGCTCCCCGTGAAAAGCATTATTTGAGAAGGCAATGCTAGTAAAGGTTATTAGGATGTATTGCAACTCATAGGAAAGACCTTTGAAGGTGAATGCCACAGAATTTTCATAGTTTTTACCACTTGAACTAGTGCTCTTCGAAAATTCAGATATCGATCGCTCATTAATTATTCTAGCCATCATTGATGTCTATTTGAAAAGAACTTGAGATCTCAATTCACCGATGAAGTGGTTGGAAGCTATGTCTATAATTTAAAGTAATGGCCACATTGAATGACTCTTGGGACAAACAATGGCTCCATAAAACTTATTGGATCGAAGGACAAGGACTTGCAATGCAAGTTAGACAAGCTTTTCAAATGACAAGGAAAGATGTCACTTAATTGATTATTACCAAGGTATTCCTTTAATACTTTGCAATAGGAAAGAGATCGAGGTATCCTTCCTTGCATAAAATTCCCATTCAAGTCGAGAGTTTGTAAGCTACAACCTTTCCTGAATTTAGCAGGGATTTCACCATCTAATTTGTTTCCTCTTAAATTTAATACTTTGAGTTGAGTCATGGCGGCAAAACAATCAGGGATAGTGCCACTCAATTGATTGTGCTGTAAATTAAGAAGCTCTAAATTTGTGGCGTTGCAGAGTGATGTAGGCATGCTCCCATGTAAGTTATTTCTTGAAAAATACAAGTAGTTAGCCTTTGATAGATAGTTAATAATATAAGGGTGGATAGAAGTGAAATTATTATTGGAGAAATCTAAAAAGGAAAATTCCCTATTTCTCAGGGTGAGAAACAAATTTTGTTTCTCACATGACATTTTCGTAAATAAATCAACAACTTTATTCAATTGTGGAACCCACAGTTGTGGAAATTTCCAGTTGTCACATTCAACTATCATTTAAACCTTATTGGAAATGATAGTTGAATGTGACAACTGGAAATTTCCCTTGAAGATTATTGGAATGGAGGTCTATAAACCTTATACTATACGGTAGTGTCAGGGGTGGTTCTAATTCTACCAAGTGGTTAGAAGAAAGGTTGAATTCAGAAATTCGCCATATCAACCTAGGCACTACACTTGTAATGTTATTCATTGAAAGGTCAAGGATATATAATGATGTTTGATTTTGTAAAAATTTAGGGATGGTGAGCAAGTTACAAGAAGCTAAAAGAAGAGTCTCTAAACTGAGGAAAAGAGAGGAGTTTTCCCTACAATCATTTGTACCAAGTGACAAGAGATTATGTGAAAGACCAAGAAGTGTGAGGTTCTTGCAGCTTTGTAGTATACTAGCCAAGTGTAGTGTGCCATTCAGCTTGTTTGAAGACAAATTGAGAGACTGAAGCTCTCTTAATTGGAAAATTGAATTTGGGATTGACCCTTCAAAGTTATTGTTGCTTAACTGAAGAGAACTTATCTTGGAAGACGTTATGCTAGATATACTTCCATCTAGTGAATTATAGGACAAGTCAAGATCATCTAAACTGAATAAATTATCCCAGTTTGTGGTGTTGATAGAACCATTCAAATTGTTTCCTTGAAGATGTAAAGATTTTAAATTCTTCATTGAGGAAAGTGATGGAATGAGACCAGAAAATTTGTTATTAGAAAGATTAATTGTACAAAGCCTCTTGAGGTTGCTGATTGAACTAGGTAAGATTCTAGAAGAGTTTGACGATGAGATATCTAATTCCTCTAGAGAACTTAGTTTACCTACTATTGATGGTATCTCACCTTGCAAAAAATTGTTGTTGGCTAGATTCAACATTTGAAGGAATTGAAGACAAAACAAACTACTTGAGTTGTCAATGACTCCGGTGATATTTTTGTCACTCAAATCTAGGCCAATGACTCGACCATTGGAGTTGTTGCATATGACACCATTCCACTAGCAACAATCGGTGCTTTGATTCCAACCCACAAGCTTGTCTAAAGCATCGGGAGCAAATGTAAGATTGTGCTTCAACTCAAGAAGTAATATGGGGAGACTCATGAGAATTTTTTTTATGTGAGAACACTTTTTATGTTCTAAATTTTTACTCATATGTTCTAAATATTAAATATGATGTTCTAAACTTTTCCTTAGATGTTGTAAATTAAATCAAATGTTCTAATTTAGTACTCACATGTTCTAAACCATAAATTAGTTAAGTTTGATATCATAAATTTTAAATAACTTGTTCCAAAATTTTAACTTATATGTTCTAAATTTTAAAACGTGTGTTCTTAGATTTTTGAAAAAATGGAATCTAAAAATCCAACATTTGGCCGGTCTGACAATAAAAATCCAACCTTCCATTAATCTCAAAAAAATCCAACCTTTGCACCCCACCTTCTTTGACAGGTCCATTTGACCTTTAACTTGTTAAACCGGTTAAATTTTTTTTTTTTTTTTTTTTTTTTTTTTTTTAATTTCCTTCTCACTCCTCTTCTTTCTTTAATTATATGTTCCAGATTTTAAAACGTATGTTCTATTTTTTTTAACTCGTATGTTCTAAATTTTTTACTTACACTTTCTATATTCTATATTAGTTTGTTCTATATTTTTATTCACATGTTCATAATATTAAATCAAATGTTCTAAATTTTACTCATATGTTTAAAATTTCATACAACAGATTTTATAATTTTTTAATCACTTGTTTCAATACTTAAATCAAATGTTCTAAACATATTACTCACACAGATGTTCTAAATTATTACTCATATGTTCAAACTTTTAAATTGAGTCACATGTTCTAAATTTTAACTTGTATGTTCTAAATTTTTACTCACATGTTCTAAATTATAGATCAGTTCTTATATAAGTATGAATTCTCACATATGAACCTATTCTCACCGGATCCCTCCCCTATATATATATATATATAATTTAGAACAAGTGACTAAAAATTTAGAACATATGACTAATAATTTAGAACATGTGTGTGAGCAATAATTTAGAACATCTGATTCAAGAATTAAAACATGTGAGTAAAAATTAAAAAAAATTTGCTTTATGAAATTTAGAACGTATGATTAAAATTTAGAACATCTGATTTAAAATTTGGAACGTGTGAATAAAAAATTTAGAGCACTTGGTATAAAATATAGAAAATGGGAGTAAAAATATTGAACATATAAGTAAAAATATCGAACATGTGAGTAAAAATTGGAACATATGCTTTCGAATTTAGAGCATATAACTAAAAATCTTAGAACACACACACGTTTTAAAATTTAGAGCATATAAGTGAAAATTTCGGAATAAGTCATTCGAAATTTATAACTTCTAACTTCACTAATTTATGGTTTAGAACATGAGTACTAATTTAGAACACCTGATTTAATTTAGAACACCTAGGAAAAAGTTTAGAACATCATATTTAAAATTTAGAACATAAAAAGTGTTCTCACATAAGAAAAATTCTCACGAGAGCCTCCACTTATATATATATATATATATAGATTGTTATAGTGAAGTTTTTTTTTTTTTAACATAAGACGTAGCAGAGATTACTTGGGCAAGGCCCTAATAATTACAGCCTAACGTCCATAGATTTGGATAACCCAAAATGCAAATCTAGGACTAAGTTCAAACGATGAAAACAAGAAACTAGAATATTGTTTTTACATAACCAGAACAAAGACATAAAAACACAGAGGCATGAACAGAAGCTAAAAAATGCCCTCCAGAGCATTAAGATCAGCTTCATATGCAGCAATGACACTTGTGGGGACTGTGTAATGAGGAACATGACCCCTATGCATACGCATGGAAAGCTGACTTAGATAGTGCGCAACAGAGTTCCTTTCCCTTGGAATATGGCTAACCACCACTGTCATATCCTGATTCCTGAGGCATCGGCTAACATCTATGATAATTGTTGCTAGTTCATGATGCATGTTAATCGGTTCTTTGTTAAGAAGAGAATGAATAATATCCTCAGCGTCTGTTTCAACCTCAAGAAATTTGATAGGAAAAGCCCTTGAAAAGTTTAAACCCTCTCTCAGAGCATACATACAGTTCAGCCTGAAGAGGAGTTTTTGCATTGTACTTGCTGGAATACCCAAACTAACATTCACCTTTATCAGTTCTGAACACTCCACCCCCACCAGCACATTCATCCCTTTCACTTTTCCAGGCACCATCAGTGTTTAGCTTTAAATAGCCAGGTCTTGGAGGCCTCCAAGGAATAGATCTATCTGCAAGAGGGCCTTTGGCACAATAAATTTTCTCTTTGCCTTTCCCTTTGTGATCACCCTGTAAAACAAAAGAGTTGATTTGATAGTCAATTATAAACCTGATAAACACAGAGTTACAATTGTAATCATCATTGTTAAAGAAGACCCCATTTCTGAGCTTCCAAAGCTGCCACATTCCCATTAGGAAAATGCACTTCCATTTAGGAGTTTGAGAGAAATTGAATTTTAACCAATCATTCCAGGAGCTGTTCATAAAAATACTGAAATTAAAGGAAGGTGGAGGTTTTAGTTTCTGAAAGATCATAGACCATAAAACAATGGAAAAGTAGCAATCTCTAAAAAAGATGAATAAAATTTTTTGGATTCTCCTTACACCTAACACAGACATTGTCAGCTAATCTGAATCCACCTAATCTGATCAGCTGCAGAAACAAGATCAGAAACAGAAGAAGAGATTGGGGTACTAAGGATTAAAGGAATGATGTGAGAGGGAAGACGGTGCCTAATATCATCAATGTACCAAGTACCATTCCTGATAATATTTGAGACTCTCCAATGACTCCTATATTGAGGGATATCCCTTGAGATTAACTTAAATAAAGGAGCTTCTCCAACCCAATGATGGTACCATAAGGAGGTATCCTCTCCATTACCAATTCTGATGATTAGACCCTGTGAAAGTAAATATCTGCCTCTTAGGATGTCTCTCCACATAGGGGATTGGGAGGGGTTGGAAATAGCATCTAAAAAGTTTGATCTTCTAAAATACTTATCCTTTGAAATTTTGACCCAAAGCTTATGAGGATGAGTGAGAATGTTCCATCCTAATTTGGCCATAAAAGATTCCTTCAATGATCTAATCCCCAACCCCCCCCCCCCCCCAAGAGATGGGAAGAATAACATTATACGTGATGTACTTGAAATGTACGAGTATTGAATGAAACCATGCATTGCTGGACTGTTGGTATTTATAGTTGATATACTTGAAATGTACGG